ATGAGGTGACTGGATGGAGTCACTGAAGCAGTAGGCCTGAGATTAAATGGACTCCAGAGGATGGTAGAGGACAGGAAGTCCTGGAGGAACATCTCAACTTCTCAACTAACAACAACAACGTCTGTGGAGATTCTCAATCATCCAGGTCATGGTTATTCCAAATGTGCTTTTTCCAAAAGACAACTGGACATCTTTGAGGTGTTTTTTTTCCCTTTGAAAATGTTTCACTTCTTCAATTAAAAACTTCAGAACTGAAGAAACATCTTGGATGAGAAGTTAAAAAAAAAACCCAAGAAGTCTTAATTGCCTTTTGGAAAAAGCATTTTTGAGATAGCATGTGAATTGAATGAGTAATATGCAAATACTGTCTATGTTGAGATGTGCAGTTTTAACTGTATCATGTTCCAGTTGTTATAACCTTTGGAAACATTCCAAAATTTTATTGAATCCCCCCCCCCTTTTCCCAGCATAACGCTAACATTCTACTATTTCAACCTCTTAGCAGTGCTATAATGGGTAAGAAACGAAGAGAAAGACTGCCCCCTGAAATTCCATGGCTGTGAGTAAACATATGTTCATCTTTAAGCACAACTCAACGCCTTAATGCTCACAGTAGCATTCTGGTGTGAAATGGGAAATTCTAAATACGTATGGATTAAACCATAGCAGATGGCATCAATTTCATTTGTTGCAAGAGAAAAAAAATGTAACTATCCAGGTTAAAACTTAGCTGTATGAGAGCTGTATGAAAACCCCAGAAAAGCAATGATAAAACAATTTCTGTTCTGCTGCCAAAAACCTGTAATGCGTATTTGGGAAAGCATGATCTTAGAATCTTTCCCTTTTTAAAATCATGCTGGCTGTGGAATTCTGAGAATTGAAGTCCTTACATCTTAAAAGTCATGGTTGAGAAACACTGCTTTAAACTTTCCGGATATGGAAGCTCATTCTAAAAAAGAAAAGAAAAAAGTAGATTCTAAGACTTGGATGTCCAGGGAGAAAAGTGCCCAAAATTACAAGAAAGAGTTCCACAATCACGCAATTGAAACCCTGTCATATTATGATTTGGGTTAAAAAAATAAATAAAGAGGGAAGTAGAAATTCAATCATATGATTGTAGCCACCCTGAGTTTTGCCACACATACCTCCATCATCCTCGCACTGTTTCTCATTTCTTTATCTTGGTTAGTTTAAGATGTGTGGACTTCAACTCCCAGAATTCCTCAGCCAGCATGTTTAAAATAAACCAATCCAACCATTTAAATGGCATCAGGGAAAAATCACCCAGCAGTGAGGTTCCAGGTCTGCTTGCTTGCAGTTTCTTGTTCTCTCCTATTCCAAGTTATGTCTCAATTTTGAGAGAGAGATTGCCTCTGACAGAGAGTATCACTCTGCCCGGAAAACACTGCAGTGATCGACAGGAGTTGTGAAATGAAAACTAAATATGGATTGGTGCATCCTCCGTCATCTATACATTTAAAGTGTGTGTGTGTGTGTTCCAGCATAACTCTGGAACGCCTTGAGCAATTCCAGCCAAACTTTGGTACGCAGATGACTTACTCTCTGGAAACAAATACTGTAGGGGTAAGACACCCCTAAAACTCCTTGTGGTGTGTGTTCTGTTAAGATACAGCCTGTTGTGCCTTAAAATGACTTCTACTGTACAGTGTAACTGCTTCACAGTACTCCACAAGTGGGGGTCCCTCTGGTAAGGGGGAAAATCCAACATTAGAAATTACGTTTGGTCCGGACATTTTCTCCCTATAAATAAACATCTGGGCATCAGTTATCAGTGTATAGTGTAACTATAAATAGGGTTATCAGTGTATAGTGTAACTATAAATATTGCTAGATAAACAAAAGAGAAAAAAACCTGTTTTCAAAGACAATTCAGAAAGCATCATCTTGTGAATCCAAGCCTTATTTTATATACAACTTCTCCAAATACACGCAGTTAAGACAAAACAGTACTGCCGCCTTTTTCCTCTCCCAACCAGAACAAAGGGGGAAAACAAACAGGGTTTAGAAAAAGGAACAGGGGTAAAAAGTGCCGCAGGGCATTGTGGGATACTCCTTTCCAACCCCAACTTGCAAGGCTGAAAATTCATCGATTCACACATGTGCTTTTTTCTATCATTGCTTTTTGCCACCTGGAGATCCTGAAGGGATTTCCGCCCCTCCTCCTCTTCAACCAATCAGGAGTCCTGAACCAAGGGGGGGGGAAACAGTTCTGCCTTCTTGGGGCCACCACAGAGAAGGCCCTGCCGCACAGAAGCCACAGAAAACTTGACAGTTCCTCGTCCCTCTATCCTGATGGGAAATGTTTCCTACTAGGCGCCATTGATGCACCAGAGGATGGAAGTAGCTATTTGTGTGTGTGTGTGTGTGTGTGTGTGTGTGTGTGTGTTAATGCCCTGCTCCAATCTGACTCGGCTAAACGACGCGTCATGGACCTCCTCCTCCTCGTTTCCATCACTGCTAATGGAAATCCAGCTTGAAATCCAACTCCAGGGGGCTTTTAAAAGAAAAAAGAAAATTTGTAGATTGCTCCTCAATTAGAATTTGGTTGTCAACCCTGGGTGGAATAGGGTGGCAGCTCTTCAGTTCACCCCTGAACAGGCTGGAGTTTGAATGAATGGTTCCTTGCGGGTTTCTCCAGAATTCGGCTCTGTGGTTCTGCGAGTGCCTCTATAACCGCTTGTCTTTCACGATGCCGTTCTTTAAGTGATTTCTATGGAGGAGAAACAAAAGGACAATTGGTGGGGGAGGAAAAATCAGCTTTTACTATTCGGTCGTGCCTTCTGACCACTGGCCTCGGGCGTGGCTATGCAGAGGAGTGGGCATGGCCCTGGAATCGCCCCTCATACGAGTAGTCCTTGACTTATGACCTCCGTTGGAACCAAAACGTTCAGTCGCTAAGCAACGTGGTTGTTAATAACTGTGTTAAGTGAATCTTAAGTGTTATTTAACTTAATTGCAGTGATTCATTTAACAACTGGCAGTAAAGGTCGTAATATGGGACAAAGCTCACTTAACAATTGTCTTGTTTAGCAACAGGAATTTTGGGCTCAATTGGAGTCATGAGTTGAGGACTACCAGTATGGCATAGCTGTACATATCTATCCGTAAGTATATAATTGAGCATTTTTTAAAATCAAGGTCTATTTTCATTTCTTACAATTGGTTGGAATGGATGGATAAACCGTAGCTGATTTGTAACCTGCTTAATAATGGAGGGTATATTAATGTAGGAACTGTGGCTAATAGGGAAGGGCAACTGATTTCTTGATGATACACTGTGATCTATAAAATAGGTGACCGGGATATGGGACCCCTTGAATTCAGAACCTCTTGAAGGCAGCAGATGGAGGGATAAGGAAAGTCCTTACTAACATGAACGGAACAGAAGGGAGTGCTCTCTGGAGAAAAATATTGTGGGGGCAAAAGACCCCTAACATCCCTCAGGGGTGTGTGTGTTAAGATACAGCCTGTTGTGCCTTAAAATGACTTATACTGTACTGCTGTAAAATGGCTTCTACTGTACAGCACAGTGGAGTTGTCATGGTAACATCTTCACAGTACTTCTCAAGGGGGCTCCCTCTGGTAAGGGAAAAAAATCCTACATTAGAAATTATATTTGGTCCGGATATTTGCCCCCTACAAATAAATACCTGCGCAATTCCGGGTTATCGGCTAGTAATTCATAAATAAGTGTCTGAGGTCCATACTTGAGATACATAAGGCCACAATCCAAGGAATGTGCAGTATGTTGTGGATCAATCCTGAGATAGCTGTCAATGAACATCATTCTGGCGTTCAGGAAAAGTGTAAGAGGGTGGAGTCTTTGGCCCTGAGTGACAGGATTTCTCCACCATTTGGCATTTCTCCTACATGGGCTTAATATCCTCTCCATTGTCCAATTCTCCACTCCTGACATTTACTGGCTTAAGTCACTTTTCAGAAATTTCTGGTCATATTGCTTTTAGGCTTTCCCGCTTAACCTAAAAGACCCAATGACTAGTTTCCCCCATTTACTGCAGAATGAAATTGAAGCAGCGGTTTTTAACTCACTGAGGTTGTGTACAGTACTTTTAAATATTATTATTATTTTTTTAAATATACTTTCTGAATAAGAGCTGGGGACAGCATTTTCTTCCCCCCTAATCTGTTCCATCATTTGCAGCAGCTCTAAAAGAAATTTGCGGGCCGTTTCCTACTAAGTGCCTCCTTGAGAAAGTGAAAGAGGAAGGGTAGTTGAAACAGATACTATTCTTGGTCTTCACCTCAGGAGGGTAGAATTAAAAAGGTTGTTCAGTCCTGTTGTGGCCCACAGAGCAGAGCGGCAGCAGATTTGAAGTGAGGAGTGAGGAGGGTTGGGGAGGAACCTGGGCCAGTCCTGGAGTCTGGGGAAGGCTCTGACGAGGGCTCTGCGTCAGAGGCAGAGATGGGGTCAGGGCCGTCCATCAGTTATCATCTGCCTTTGGAGTC